CGCATCCGGTTGAGGGAGAACAACATCCGTCTCCGTGTACCAGCGAAACGCCGAGCTCATCTTCCATGACACCATCTGGCATGCCTAGCCTTGGTGAGGACAGCATCTGAGGTTCAAAGGACATCACTTGAACAGCTTTTTAGAGAGGAGTCCTGGTTTCATGTGGACAGCTCTGGCGATCGTGCAAGGGTCCACAGGCGCCCTGGAAAACGTTCTGGAAACACTTGAGACACACTACTCAAAGTCCTCTGTTTGGTGTTGGTAGAGAAATGATAATTGGTAGTATCATAACTCGCGGGAGAACGCAACGGATCGGAGTCGATTTGAATGGCGTACGCTACCAGGAGACCATGATCTACCAGGTATAACGTTTGGTTGCAGTAGGAATATGTATGCCCACACGTGGCATGTATTGTAACAGACTTCCTGGTGCAGCATATCATTACTGTAATGCCATGGAAGGCTGGTTTTTCTCCGAACTCTCCCCTTTGGAACACGTCTGGGAGGTTTGGAACGGCTCTTACCACAGGACCAGAGCTTGCCAGTAACATTGGATCAACTTCCACCATGTTTTTAACCATCTGTTGTTGTCAGTGCACCGCCCCTGGCTTGCCAGTATCAGTGCAAATGGTTGTCACATCTTTACAACCCCTATGTTAACTTAAAGGATCTCTTCGCATGATGGTAATGAAATTCAGTCATCCACAGCTGCTACACGTTACTCTTTAATAGTTGCGTGGTCCTACACACCCTAGTGAACTTTCCACCACGTTCATATTTTGACGCAACTGACAAAACAGAATCAGCTGACAAGTAAAATTGCTGATAAATGATATCGTCTATCTTACAACTTATTTAGACATCAAGTGGTGCCTCCGTTTCGCTTGATTCTTCTTCATCTTCACTGGAAGTTTCTCTTGCAGGATGTAAAATCAGCTCGAACAATTACCGGGTTATGGGTAGTATTGTAGTACAGGCATTCGCTTTCTACTCAATATCAAGTTTGATTTCAAATTTGACTATAATGCGTGAAACCCATTCTTGGGTCCCAAGCCGTCAACTGGCCTGACGATCTAATAATAACAGGTTGTGTTGATCTTGTTTTCGTGTTGTCGAAGACTCGCGGTAAGGTGACAAGGTTTACCGAAGGATCAAATCGAGTTACACACTTCTCACAAGTTTAAGTATATGTAAAGGGGAACACTTGACGTGAAACACAGATATGATTCGGTAAAGAATTGACACAAGGTTATTACGTTAAACGATTTTTCAGATTCTGACTGAATTTTGACGCTGTTTGGTTGGGTCAATCCTTATCTATCGATGGACATCACCATTTCCGAGCTTGTTGTGTATGTCGTCTGCCCGGGATGAATCCATAATTACAGATTATTATCAGCAGGGATGATGATCTGCCACGTCTGTTTCAACTCACTGTGACATCGCCGTGACATCGCCGTGGCATTGCCGTGACATTACCGTGACATCACACAACGTGGCGGTTTTAGCCAGAGTGGGTTGGAAGCGCAACTGCCGTTAATGTCTGTCACCGTTGTATTAGTCGCTGCCGCATGCGTTGATGTTGTTGTGAGTGAATATCAGTAATATTCACGTCCAGTCAATGTCTACAATTATGCTGGTCTAAGTTCGGCAAAACAGTTCTTAACATTATTAGGTCATGTCATCGATACTAAGAAAGCAATCATTTGACATTCATTGGAGGGTTTACAAAAATGATGTCCAACCATGACGATCAACTAAAACAACATGAATAAAATAGATGTTCATGAATTCATATCATCCGGCATATGATGTGGGTTGGAGGGATATAGTCAACACCTTGTGTGTCTGTCTGTCCGTCCGTCCGTTATCATATCCTTTCCAGAGCATAACTCACAAACCGTTCGATATTTTTCCACAGAAACGTGTTTGTCATCTTCTGATGACTCTCGGTTTAACAGTGTATAGTCATGAGTTTTTAGGCCTTTTCTGTTTGTCTGGAGACGGATTAGGTCGAGTTTCTTGTAATTTCTATTGGTGACATAGGGATCTTACAATGTGTTGCGTTTTCGTAGCAGGTATCGAACACTCTTTCGTTCCTTACTATTGATTCACACTGTCCTATAACCTGTTGGCATTTCTGGGGTCCCCCGCCGTAATATTGCTGGAATATTGCTAAAAAGCGGCGTAAAACCATACTCACTCACTCACACACTGTCCTATAACCTGTTGTGTTTACTGGTTGGCTTCCTATACCAGGTATCGAGACCATGCTGTCGGTCCATACAATGACATGCTAGGTTTTATACGTTACCTATCATGACGTGTACAATGACACATTGGGTATTGGTAACAGGTATCTCGGCCACACCCTCTCTCCGTACAATGACACGTTGGTATTTGTACCAGGAATTGTGACCACACTCTCGGTCCTAGCAACGACGTGTTGGACTTTGGTACCAGATTTTGCGACTATGCTCCTTGTCCTTACAATGACGTGTTGGGATTTGGTACCAAGAGACGCTATCTCACTCTACCGATATACCAAGCCGTGTGACCCGTGAAGGCCCGGGTAAGAATGTGCCTTCAGTAACCCATGCTTGTCGTAAGAGGCAACTAACGGGATCGGGCGGTCAGGCTCGCTGACTTGGTTGACATGTGTCATCGGTTCCCAATTGCGCAGATCGATGCTCATGCTGTTGATCACCATACAGGTGCAGCGGTTGTAGCTGTTGTCAGCGGAGGAGCTGACATGAAGCTAAGGAGGATGTCGAGTGTCGCGGTAGGACGGTGGCGTTAAAATGGATAATATATTCCTTCCATGACACATATAATCATGGCATCTTCCTGTTACACCTCTTAAAATATAAACGTGTTATTGCTGTCTGTTTAAAAAGGTCGTCATAACTATAAGCTATATAAGTTTCGTGAGTCATTTATACTAGAAAGACAGACAGTTGATTTATCCGATAAATTCACATCACATACTGAACCCTTCCACCGTGGAACGAATTAGTTTTAATCAGATATTCATTAAGACATTTCCGGCAGTAACAGCGAAACAACTACCACTCTGAAATCCCCCAAATCGCTACTAAGACCGTTTAAGGGGAGTTTCCTACGGTTTACGACCGCCATGAAAAGGCAGTAAGTCTGCGAGGCCCCCTAAGCCCCAGAAGGGACCGCGATGTGGTTGTTCCCGAAGCGCACGACGTTGGGCAGAAACCCAATAACGCTGCTGACAGGCAGCATGTTCAATAACCCCGTTAGCTGCGTGATCCGAGACAGAATATGTCGCCCGAATCCATTCCCGCATACTGTTATGCAGTTCCAATTGGTGTGAAGTGCGAGAAGGACTGTCCCGCCATTCCAGATGCAACGAAGGATATCATTCTTTATTAAACTCGTATCAAACGAAAGTCCGTATTCTGTATTGACCACGAAGTCATTTCGGGGCATCGTTCCACGCAGATATTTACATATTTGGTTAGAAAATACTCCCGCAGACCCCAGGTTGATTATTGATTCCTCGGCTATTTTGTTTTATCACGAGGAACTGTTTAGGCGCTTAAGACCGCAGTCTATTAAACCACGAAATAGCAAGACTTCGATGTGATGCACTGTCGAGACAGTCACAAGTGTGCGATGTAGATCGTTCACAAATGGATTTGGTAAATTAATGTTGTGCATCCCTGTAAAGTTCACATGGTTGGGGTATATTGTAAAAAGTAAAAATTGATTGTCTATTTAATAAGCGTAAAGAGTTGCCTCCTGTCAAAGGTGGAACAACAGCATACTTCTTCTGTGGGGGTTCCCAGTGGAGTGAGTGAGTTTAGGTTTACGCTGAACTCAGTAATATTCCAGCTATATGGCGGCGGTCTGTAAATAATCGAGTCTGGACCAGACAATCCAGTGATCAACAGCATAAGCATCGATCTGCGCAACTGGGACCGATGACGTGTCAACCAAGTCAGCGAGTCTGACCACCCGATCCGGTTAGTCGCCTCTTACGACAAGCATGGGTTACTGAAGATCAATATTCTAACCCGGACCTTCACGGGTAGTTCTCAGTGGAAAGGGATTCTAGAGTTGACAGATTTTACAATGAAAGCTAGATTTACTGTAATTAGTGAGCAAGTGAGTTGAGTTGAGTATAATGCCGCTGTGAACAGTTATATCACTGTGGGTCTGCTTCATGTGGGAGGAAAGCCCGAAGAGAAAGCCCGAGTAAACTGACAAATCTTGAAAAATGATCGATGCGAACGATTATAGGTTTTTGGCGTGACTACGGACGCAACCCTGCACGGCGAATGGCGGTGAATAGATGACTGTTCTACAAGTGCCCATGCCCCCCAAACCGTAATCAACAAAGGGGTGTTCTTACCAAAGCATGCATGCACACAACAAGACCGTGTTGGCAATCGTTTCACATACAGATTAGTTTTTTTTAAATTAGGCATGTTGTGCAGTAGATACTGTTGACGGGAACATTGACGACAGAACTACCTGTGATACGACGCCCTACAGGCGACGCCCCTCTGCTGGTGGTATGCTACAAACCTACCCCTGAAAGCACCCCCTACACGTGACGCCCCTCTGCGGGTGGTATGCTACAGACCTACCTCTGATACCACGCCCTACAAGTGACGCCCCTCTGCTGGTGGGGTGGTACAGACCTCCTTCTGATACCATGCCCTACAGGTGACGCCCCTCTGCTGGTGGGATGGTACAGACCTACCTCTGATACCACGCCCCTCTGCTGGTGGTATGGTACCTCCCTACCTCTGATACGATGCCCCTCTGCTGGTGGTATGGTACAGACCTCCCTCTGATACCACGCCGTACAGGCGACGCCCCTCTGCTGGTGGTATGCTACAGACCTACCTCTGATACCACGCCCTACAGGCGACGCCCCTCTGCTGGTGGTATGGTACAGACCTACCTCTGATACCACGCCCTATAGGCGATGCCCCTCCGCTGGTGGTATGGTACAGACCTACCTCTGAAACCACGCCCTACAGGCGATGCCCCTCTGCATGCGGACCGGGTACTCTGCTAGAGACTTGTACTTCCTGAGGGCGATCTCCACCTGAAATTATATATCCTTATCAGTCATACAAAACTTGATTTGACAAGGAACATTTGTCGAGTTTTGAAAAGTTCTCGAAATAAGTTCTCAACCTCCACAAACTTAAATATGGTTCATTTTTCTCAAAAAATAATAATCTGGCATTCTTGTGTATTTGCAATTAGGCTAGATCTGTGTGTTCCTTACTGTGCCTCTAGGCAATGGTTCAAACAGTTATTATTGAAGAAGCACAATAGGCCTTTCAGACGTGGCAAATATTTCGATAAAATAATGTGGAGTCGATTGTGTGACATAGGTGTGTAAATGCCTTGTCAGTTAACATGCGGTATATGAGAGGGGGCAGTAACCTTTCCACTACTACTGGTGGGACCTGGTGATCCACTACATTACCCCCCATTACCACCCTCACCCATTCAGTATCATCCATATATCATGTATTGTATCCACCATCATTATTCACCCTTCCCCACCCCTATCACTTACGCCTGTACACACGTCACAAGGTATCCCATTTATCGCCAACCATTCACCATCATCGCCAATACCACCACCTTACCCAGGGCCAGTCATCAGTCGCCCATCGCTACCAACCCCCGACAATCAACAATAACCACTCACCACATCACAATTACCATTACATTAACTGCCATCATTCTAATCTGAAGGGGCGGTGAGGTAGCCTAGTGGTTAGAGCGTTCGCCCGTCACGCTGATGACCCGGATTCGATTCCCCACATTTGTACAATGTGTGAAGCCGATATCTGGTGTCTCCCACCGTGATATTGCTGGAATATTGGTAAAAGCGGTGTAAAACCATACTCACTCGCTCACCTTATCTTTCAACACGCTAAGTAGTAGTAGATAATCACCACCCTCATTTGTCAACCCAGCTCTCCCACCCTTCCCACACCGACACACACGACACACACACGCACACGCACACACACGCACATACACACACATCTCCCAGGTAATACAGTGTTATCTCGTGATGGGGAACAGTGTTCAAGACGAGAACGGTGCCATGAACCTACAAAGTGCAGCTCGTCAGTCGTCCTCTCCCCGACCCGCTTCTGCAATATGCGCTTCACCTCCGAGGATGTTTTCGCCTGTAATATGAAGATATAGAAGTAATTACCCTGCGGTGATTTATCACCTGACACTTGAGAAGTATTACATGACGATAACGATGACATAGTAGCACACCTAAACACCAAACTACCCTCGTTCTTTCCACTAGCATACCGAACCTTAAGCCAGTGAACAAGCTCTGGGAGCTAATTTGTAACATGAATAAAACCATAGGCGCATTAGCTGGGATGTCCTGCAGCGGGGCCCGTTCTACAAAGCGATCGAAGCGCTACCACAGTCCTAAATCTGTGCTCAAGAATGCCAGCTACGATCGCCTCAACGCTTACGATCATTTTGTGGAAACGGGTCCCAGGTCGATATCAAGATAAGGCCATACTCGTGAGTGATCCATTAATCGACTTTTACTTGTACGATTCAGATGGATCGTCGTCGTAATCATCATCATCATCATCATCATCATCATTATGAATCGAGACTGGACCAAACAAAGGTCGACAGCGCGAACAGCGATTGAGTACAATTACAGTCACCCATGCAGGTTTCATGTCAACATCCAGCAACTCAGGAGACATTTTGACCCCCCGATCCGCTTTACGTTTTACGGGACAGTGGGGTTAGCCTAGTGGTTAAAGCGTTCGCCCGTCACGCCAAAGACGCGGGTTCGATTAACCACATGTATATTAACTTGAAAGCTTCGACATTTGTCTTACTTCCGGTGAGTAGTATATGTTGGTAGCTGGTTGTGAACTGTTTACGTTTATCACCAGCGGTCTCTAGAACGCTATACAAGCTGTTGGCTCTTGTGCACCTATCCAGCTTAGATCACATAGATCCATTCAGCTTGTAAAATCCCATGCAAGGTGTTCTGACAGTTGTGACTCTGGCCCGAAAGTAGGCTAGTCCTCTCGACAGCAGCGTCACAGATACCTTGCGACCAGGAGTCCAGATCAGTCTCGTTAAAACCAACTCTTCGATTCTAAACTATACACCTCTGCTATCAAATTTCAGAACAGATTCAAAGTGGGTCGCGCCAGTAAAACACCTGAGCGAACCTTGACCGCACAAGCTCAATGAATGTTTGAGTTCCTGGACCAATGATGTCAGCTTTCTGAAACGATCCAGCTTCATTCCTTGACCAGATTCGGACATACGTAAACAACGAATGGAAATCCACAAAGAACACAAACGATTATGTGCGTGTGTTCTCCAGTTCATATGTTGATTTCATGGCGCCCTAAATCACAGTGAGTGAGTAAAGTGTGTAAGTCGCCTTTAGCCATATTCCAGCAATATCACGGTGGGGACATCAGAAATGGGCTTCACCATAAACGGACTTCACACATTGTACCTATGTGCGGAATCGAATACGGGTTTTCGGCGTGACGAGTGAACACTTTAACCACTAGGCTACACCTTTGCCCACCTTAGCCCACCTTTGCCCACCTTACCACCTTTGCCCACCTTAGCCCACCTTTGCCCACCTTAGCCCACCTTTGCCCACCTTAGCCCACCTTTGCCCATCCACAGGCTTTAGGATGTAGCCCAAACAAATTCTTAGCCCACCTTTGTAATCCACAGGCCAGGTTGTAAACATGTAATATACACAGATATACATCTGTATTCAGACGTTGTTGTATTTCGTTTCCGATATACAGAAATTAAGATAACCTGGTTGACATGTTACGCTCACAGACTTTATTCTACCTGTCGGTGAGTCCGCAGATCTTCACACAGAAATATATATATCAGAGCAAAAGATATAATTTTAATGAGATCTGGTCCAGATAAACTTGGAACATATAAAGTTGAACCTGTGTAATGCATACCAGGGATGATATCTCCCCCAGATGCCCTTCCTCTCCCAGCCGAACTCATTGTGTGAATAATATTTACCTCTTTCGTTGACCTGTACTCTGTGATGTCAAACAGAAGGTTCTTGTTTACTGAAGAGTCCGCTATAAGATTCAACGTCTGATAAAAGTTCAACACCTCCTTCACTCTGAAAAATGAATGATTGTGTTAATTTGTTTCTGTTATCTTGTTATCTCACAAGCGCTATTATAATAATTGATTTTTTTTCAAAGTGTTTAAGCATGTTTGAAAAGGGTTGTAGTTAGAGCAAGTCGCTTAACATTGAAAGTGACATAATATGGGTACCAAAGCATCAAACCGGCATAAATATCTACTTGGAAGTGCTACAGTTTACAACTGTACTATCGAGCCTTAATAAACAAGGGTCTTGAGGTTTTTGAAAGGCATTTAGAGGTGAGGTGAGGTGAAATGGGGTTTATCGTCATGCTTGAGAATATTTCGCTCATAATATGACGACGTGCATGCGTGTGTATGTGTATGTGCGGCTGCTTGTACTAGCCCAGACTGAAGCTGGTTTTATAGTGCTAGCCCACTGAGATACCATGCCGCAGTGAAGCATGAATACCCCACTCAGACACATTATACTGACTCCGAGCCGACCAGTCCTTGTACCCATTAATGCCGTACCCATTAATGCCGAGTGCCAGGCAGGGACCAACAAGTACCATATTTTAACGTCTTTTGGTATGACGCGGTCGGGGATCGAACCCGCGACCTTCCGCTCTCCAAAGGTATTTAGAAGTTGGACGAACACTTTTATGGATAACAACTTCTTTTTATTCTTTGCACGACGTTTCAGAGCTAATTCTTGCTCCTTCATCAGGTGAATACAGAGCGAGTACATATTCACTCTTTGTACTGACTCAGTATTCACCTGATGAAGGAGCACGAATTAGCTCTGAAACGTCGTGTAAAGAATAAAAAGAAGTTGTTATCCATAAAAGTGTCATGTATTCAGGTCTTGAGGTGGCTGCATCAAGTGCTCTTGAGAACACTTGAATGTGTCGTTCAAACCCATATCTGCTCACCTCACAATGGGGCAGTGGGATAGCCTTGTGGTTAAAGCGTTAGCTCGTCACGCCGTAGGCGTGGGTTCGATTCCCCGCTCGGGTAAAATATGTGATGCCCATTTTACATTTCTGGAATATTGTTAGCGCTAAGATAGACATAAGTGACATACATTAACATTAACTTACGACTATCTTAGCGCTAAGAGAGCATCGGAGATCTAGGCCCTGGGTGCTGTTGTACAAAACAACTTTAGCACTAAGACTACCTAAAGTCTATGTTAAGGTATGGGAGTCATGGTCACCTTAGCGCTACGATCGCTTTGTACAACGGCACCCAGTGCCTCCTTTCACAAAGCACTAAGGTGATCGTAAGTCACGAAGGTAACCTTAGTGCATTGTTAAAGAATGGGAGTTAAGGCTAACCATAGTTGCTTCGTGAAAGGAGCCCCTGACACAAAGTTCCGAATCTCAGGTATTGTTTTGGTAGCTCCATGGCTACTGTTGTACTTGGACAGCCAGATTAGATAGGAATACTCTCATCAAGTTGGACAGAGCACTCTTAATGGGCTGCAACAATCAGGTAATATGTTGTTTCGGATTTGTCGGAGACCAGGGGATGATGACTCTCGTTACATTTCATTAAAGCCTCGTTTTGTTGTGGTGGCAGGTTAACATGGCATCCGCTATATGAATATTGTAGTGGCGCTTCACTAAGGGCGTGTGCGGGAAGCTGTCTGGAGGCGTGCTGTCGAGAATTTTATCTGCGACATGGAGATACACAACTGCTTATCTTTCTTTTTCACGTTTCTGCACTTATCCCACGATATATCATTGCTACACATTATCTAAATATCATTATCACTTTAGCCATCTGGTTATAATTGTGGCACTACCCGTGGCAGTTTTCCGTTTCGATCCTCGTACTGTCGCCATCCATTATGAAGAGGTAGTTGAGCAATAATGTACCATACACCTATAAACACGATCCTATCCCTGCATTTGCGAATCATCATGCTTTGTGTGTTGTTTGCCGCCGCACTCAGCAATATTCCGTCTCTATGACGACAGTCTGTAGATAATCGAGATGGAATATTGCTGCGTGCGGCGTAAAACTAAACTCACTCGAGTCTGGACCAGACAATCCAATGATTGAATATGATCTACGAAGTCGCTCATAAGGTTCAGCTGACTTGGTTCATTCATGCTATGGTATCCCGAAGTGCGTCCGTCAATGCTCATGATGTCCATCACTGGACTGCCTGATCATATGGTTTATAAATATTGCTGAGGACGACGTCAACCAACCAACCAACCAACCAACACACACGCACACACACACACGCACGCACGCACGCCGAGAGTTGGGGCTGGGTGCAATGGCTCGTATACCCCCTTTAGGAATACCAATCATGTTAACATAAAAAACATAACAAATCCTTTGACAAACCATACATAAGCAAAAATAACAACAACAATAATACTTTGGGGCTGAATATTCTCCGAATACTGTTCAGTTGTTTTCTGTATCTTGGGTCCACTCAGTCCGACTCACCGTTTTTCACAAAGCTGGTAGTCTCCCCGCTTCCCCGAATTTGCTCAACATATATATGTGTAACACCCTTTTCCAAAACGCTTCACCCGCATTTGTAGAATTTTATATATGTAAATATCACTTGGCCCTATATGGAAGATATGATAACAAAACATTGTCCTAGGTGATAACGTATTAGAACTGGGCCCCGTTCCTCAAGGCGATTGTAGCGCTACGACAGTCGTAAGTCTATGTTAAAGTATGGGAGTTACGATCGTAGCCAACGATCATCGTAGCGCTACGATCATTTTGAGGAACGGGACCCTGGTGGTCTTATTTATTTGATGGTGCGGTGGGGTGGCCTAGTGGTAAAAGCGTTCGCTCGTCACTATGAAGACACGGGTACAATGTGTCGTGATATTGCTGGAATATTGCTAATAGCGGCGTAAAACCCACTCACTCACTCACTCACTCACTTATTTACTTGATAGCCCCAGTTTAATTTAACTGTACAGGGTCCCAATCCACAAAGTGTTCGTAACGTTACGACCTGTCGTAACTCTATTGTTTATCACAGGCTTACGAATGTCGTAGCGCTACGAGCGTTTTGTGGATCGGGACCCCGAAGCAGTAATACTAACCCAGTTTAATTAAACTGTACAGACGGATATATACTAACCCAGTTAGATTGTATCATTCCTTACACACGGAACGTTAATCAGACTGATTAGAAACCTCGTTATGCCACAGTAGAGGGTCTTATGTATTGTAAACAATCGGTCATGATTCGGTTATCCCAAACACAGATACAATCACCTCGCGTGAGGTTTCGATCTGGCCGTCTGGCTATACGTAAATCTGTGATGCTTCAGCTGATAACTCGTCACGGTTCTGGGCAAGCTTGCAACACTTACTTGTGCGAGTGTATGCGCCATGTTCGAAACAACAGGACGATGAACCGGCACAGCTTCTTGAACCGAGGCTTGTGCTTTGTCTGAAATATAATGTCCACATGAAACTCACAATGGAATCAGTTATCTGTGTGTAACTGCTACCTAGTTGTTTTTGGTAATTTCCATCGGTGGTTAACTTTGAAAGATTGTAGCAACCTAGAACCGCGTCCGTTGGAGGGGTGTTGTTGCGGACCTTTGGTCCCCGAGAAATCAAGAGGCATAAGTCAAGTCAAGCCGGTTACATTGTTGAAACCATTTACATTATCTGAATGGGAGCATGGGTGGCTAAGTGGTTTTAGGCGACGCAAATGGCCAGTCGTGGTTCCAATCCCAAGTCAGCTGTATTCGTGTTTTGTTTCTTTTGTATCCCTGGTGGAAACGTTCCTACTCTATAGGGGCGGTGGGGTAGCCTAATGGTGAAGCGTCCGCTTAAGACCTGGGTTCGATTCCCCACATGAGTACTATGAGTGGATCCCATTTCTGGTGTCCTCCGCAGTGATATTGCTGGTATATTGCTAAAAGCGGCGTAAAACCATACACACTCACTCACTCGTACTCTTTATGTCAGTCTTGACTTCCGACTCGGTTACATTTGCATAACCGATATTCTTTCCTCAACCATATGTAACCTTAGCCCTCTATTCTGTCTTAAAGGTGGAGTTGACTTCCTGGTCCTTACCGTCAGGGAAATTATATTTAATATCCTTATGAAGATTTAGAATGCAGTTGAGAAAGGAAGTATAGTGTTTAGAAACCCTGTGTCATTACGATAGGTTCTTTAGAAAGGTTATTTCGATAAGGATACACCGTAATGTGTTCATTTATGGCTCGATTTTTTAAATATATATAAGTGGGTGGCTTACCTTGTAGGCTGGTAATCCCTTCCAACGTACAGTCTTGTGTTCAGACATAGTTGAAGGGTTGTAGTGTCTGCGTGTGTCACTGTGTGTGTGTTGTGTGAGGGGTTGTTTTGAACCCGTTCATTTCTGATATAGATGCTGTACCGCCACAGACAGGTGAATATCTTCTTGTAAGTAACTTTGTTTTTCCTGATGGAATGGAGTATCGGCCAATATCACTTGCTCTCCCAACGGCGTCGGATGTCTCAGCGGTCAGGTTTGAAATGTCTCTGGAGCCAGACAGGGTGTCAAATAGCTCATTGGTCAGGCGAAATGTCTCAGGGTTTAGGTGAGGTATGAAATTTTCCAGTGTCAGACGAGGTATGAAATGTCCAAACGGTCACACGGGTACCAACTGTCCCAGTGGTCAGACGATGTATCAAAATGACTCAGGGGCTAGACAGATATCAAATATCTCATTGGTCAGACAAAGTGTCAGATGTCCCAAGGTCAGAGGAGGTATTAAATGTTCCTGCGGTCAAAGCCAGTCTTGAAAAAGCCATGAGGGTGAGATCTGGACATTATGTCCACAGAAACCAGAATGACACAAACTCAGACTGTTCATGTAGGATAGGTTAAATGCGTGATTAGCTTTCACGCCTCAACGCCGGTAGTGTCCAAAGGTATCTGTGCTTCAACATCGAAGCCTGGTCGTTATTTGTTCCATGCAATATGAGCGTCACGCCCACCGCGCACCTGTTATCGGCATAGATTCACGGTCATTTCGGAGGTATGGAATGATATTATAACAATTCCTGTGTTGTTCAATGTCTGATTGTTGATAAATACCCAATCTTTCAGCTTCAGAAACACTATTGGGTTTGTTACCGAAAGACCATAGATACGGAATGTGTCAGAGTATTATCGCTCTTAACGCGTAACAGGAAATGTATATCCACGAAGCTACACACATAGCACAAAATCAACCTCAAAAGAGCAATAACATTTTTTGTCTTCCTTATCTTTCAACACGCTCGGGGTAATGGGAGAGTGAGTGAGTGAGTGAGTATGGTTCTACGCCGCTTTTAGCCTACGTTGGTAATAAAACCCGGGTATTCGGCGTGATCAGCGAATGCTTTAACCACTGGGCTACCCCGCCGTCCCAGTAATGGGAGATGGTTATGTTCATCAATGTGAGGACCCGTGAAGGTCCGGGTTAGAATGAACCTTCAGTAACCCATGCTTGTCGTAAGAGGCGACTTACGGGATCGGGTGGTCAGGCTCGCTGGCTTGGTTGACACATGTCATCGGTTCCCAATTGCGCAGATTGATGCTCATGCTGTTGATCACTGGATTGTCTGGAGCTTAAATGGCACGCATGTTTTTAATCCAAGCGTTCAGCTATTAAATGATCTTGACTTCTCGTTTACGACTTCTACGTTTACGATAACCACATCGTTCCTTAGGCGTTCCAGAATCCTGTGATAGTATCATAGTACCCGCCTCTCATCCAAGCGATAATCGTCTAAGACATACATTGTTTCGAGATGTTCTACGTGTCACTGGATTGTCTGGTCCAGACTCGATTTGTTCACAGACCGCCTCCATATAACAGGATTATTACTGAGTGAACAAAACTCACTCACTTAAAGCTGACACGTTGTGGTGTAATATCCAAAGGTGCGTTAAACCAACCCTCTCGTTGGTCGTTCTCCAGTCCATCTTACAAGTCTTCACAGCCGACTGACAGTGTTGGGGAGCATGGCACAGAGCGTCATGGTACCCTTAAGGGTTTACATAGTTGTTCATGCCGTCAGCCTATATTCTCTCACAAACACATATCGAGTGGGGGTATAATTACTGATCAAACTGGTAAATTCCTGTGCGATAGTTTCAAAGGATAATGCATATACATTACGTCATTCATACGACGCTTCGAAAACGGAGGTATTTTCCGTTGTTATGTCATGTTACCGAGCGGAAAGCCACTGATATCGGGAAATAGGCAACCATACATATTATTTAAGAAATCTTTTTATAATAATTTTCTGATGACGTAAAAATGAAAATATAAAAGAAAAAGGCACTGGCATGTTATGACATGTCACAAATGGAAAAAATCGCCATAGTTTTTGAATAACATTATAAAATAAACTTCATATTTATCAACAGTAGGATTATAATTTCCTTCATAAACATAGGCTTCATCTATGACCTCAGAGTCTCGATAGTAAGGAAAGATATCAAAGGGGAAGTAACTCGGTGCATATACTGTGGTTTCAGCAGTACGAACGTTTCACTATCCGAACGTTTTTTTTAAAAAACCAAAGTGTTCGTATTAACGAGGTCTGACTGTATACGTGTGTTTGTGAAATGCCGCACTCAGCTATATTCAAGCAATCATAGTGATAGCAATGTGATCAATAAATATTCGAGCCTGAACCAGACATGGGAGACCAAACACAAGGAATTCATCCATCACCTGAAAAGTACTTTCGGAACCTGTTCAGGTTAAAATGTAAGGAATTGTAGCTTTGTTGTAATGTCCGTTTGAATAGTCTAACTGTAGTCTGGAATTCATTCTCAGCCTCTTGTACAGATACTGGAGATGGAGACATTGTGTTAAGGGATTAGGATAACTGCACTGAACAAACGCATTTAGGGACCCGTCAAGCTGGGTTGGAATTGGTCTTCAGCAGCCCATGCTTGTAAGAGGCTTGCTGACTTGGTTGACACAATCACAATGTCATCGTATCCCAACTGGCTAGATCGAAGCTCATGGTGTTGATCACTGGAATGTTTGGTCCTGATTATTTACGGACCACTGCCATAATAGCTGGAATATTGCTGAGTGCGGCGTTAAACAACAAACACATTTAGGGATCCTGGATATTGTTTGGGTGACTCATTGATTCATTTATTGATTCATTCATCATTCATTTTGTGAAGTGAAGAGTGAATACACATTTCATAAAAAAGGTATCGTCCAAAGATTCATGATCCTCTTTCTTCAGTATTTTAACTGCGGTGAGGTAGCCTAGTGGTTGAAGCGCTCGTCACAGGATCTACCCGGGTTCGATTCCCCACATGGGTACAATGTGTAGAACCCATTTCCGGTGACTCCTTCCTCTCCACACACTCAGGAATATTTTATGTCCGCTTCACTTACTTTATATCATGGTCAAACCTTCCTTAGGTTACAAGGTAAATCATTTTCATTTGTGATGTGGATTTATGCCTTAAGCATCATTATATGAAAGTCATGTAACGACAAGTCACACTGTTCTCTAACATCCTGGTATTACTGAAAGACCATGTTGACCCCAACTCAATGACTCATGAAGATTCCTGGTTAGAATATTGGTCTCCAGCAACCCATGGCCACACTTGAAAGATGCAACTCACAGTACTGGGTGGTCAGACCCACTGACTTGGTTGACATCCTGATTGCATAGATCTATGCTCATGCTGTTGATCACCGGATTGTCTGGTCCAGACTCAATTTATTTATAGACCACCACCACAAAATATTGCTGAGTGTTGCAATAAACAAACAAAGTTTCCACTACTAGGGTCTAATAAGAAAAAACACAGCTTTAAAAGAAACAATTTTATTCCCATGACAACAAAATACTTAATACACTTTTGCAGCTGTTCATCATATGTTAATTTCCTCAAAACACCACACACCACCTGGTAGCATCCATGTAGAACAGTGAGACATACAGCCACAGTGGAAACAGCATACCCAATGTAGATCAGCACCCACAGCAACACTGGGTCTTTCTATAAAAGCCAGATTTATTTTATTGAAATGTTCATTATAATAAAAACAAAACTACTGCTTCAAGGAGAAAATGAAGAAACCAGTAGTTGTCCATGAATTTGGTGCAATAGAATTTGTCGGGTACAAGCCAGCAAAACGTAGGAGAAACGTTTGTTGACATTAGTAAACAGCTCTTATCAATAGTCGTAGGACTATCATATTTTCCCCTGACTTAATAAATGACTAATCCCTAAAGACTAATCGAATTGATAATTTCGTTTATTTTAAAATTTTATCACAGTACAATGATCCTGGTGTGTCCATGGTGCTACCAGACCATGTCCCAGTCACAGCTCTAGGTATCCCAGCGTGATCCGGTTCTAGATGTAGCACTAGGATAGCTATATATCTCCATGGTGCTACCAGACTGGTTTCTGCTTTACAAGAACTACAAGTGCAGCTACAAACATTCTCACCTCAACACTCACACAAACTTCACAACATGGACTCCATTCCTGAGGTGGACACAGAATCACTTCCTTGTCCTGATAATTCTGAGCTTATCAGTTTGAATATTGTATAAAGTTTATAGGCAATATAGAATATAACACACTACTTGTACACCATTATGACTGACATGCTTTAAGCTGGTGCCAGCAGTAATGTTGAGTCTAGAGTCTAACTATAGCTGAGAGTATGCATAAGTGTATGCTGATGTAAGCAATATTAATGTAATGTTGTAGCTGGGTACACCAAATATTTTGGGACAGAACCCATGTCCGGTTGCTTTAACCACAGGGCCACCACACTGCCCTGTACCACAAGTGAGCTATGAGCAGAATGAATATCAGCTTTACTTCAGATTATCTCCCCTGCCACAACAGGAAGCTGTTTACCCCACATCAATAGTCTGGAACTAAAGCAAACATATAGTGCGTGTGTGCTGAATCAGCAGTATTTTTGCAGTTAAACCAGATATCACCATAATGACCTGGTCAGTTATCACAGGTGGGCAAGCGGACCAGGTTTCTGCCAAGAGTATCACCTCACCAAATTTCCTAGGACTAATCTGTGATGCATACTTGTCAAAATGAACTACCTGGCTAAAATGTATACACCAGTGTATAATAGCATCCAAATATGAAACAAGAAGAAAAGTTTATTAAATGGTGATACAATTATCATAGTTGTTTTGGACCTGGAGTCAGCAGCATTTCGCGGACAGTTTTCAGACAATTTGCATTTTTTTCATCAAATCAAATTTTCAAGCATATTCTTTATTTACAGGCAGTCTACTTTCAATGTGGTGTCAATTATTATCTATATGTAAATGTTAAATCTGAAAACATAAACAAAGTATTTATGGGAAATTATACAATATCTTGTGATATAAACTGATCACAATTTTATGCACACCCAAGAGTAGGAATCATAAGTTGAGCAGCATATACGATCAACATCCTTCTGCCGACCATATATTGACATATGGTGACTGCCCTCTCAGATACACCAAACTGATTATTTACAATTTTATTTACTGCATGACATTACATATCCCCATCAAAAGTTATCCCTAAAGAACAGAACATTAATAACGGACCCTCTGCCGACTTGAACTACTCCGGCCAGTCCCCTGGTCACATCCACCAATCCAGTGACGGCTAACACAGGAATACAGGTTCACTAATAAAATCTGTTTAGGAAATATAGTCACTTAATTTATAGAAGCTGAAATAATCACTTTGATCAGGGGATATGAGAGTTGATTACATTTCATTTGAAAATCAATCTGAAATAGCTAACTCATAAACTATATAGAGACTATACAGTTGTAAGTCTAAACTGCGTAAATAGGCATAACTATAGGTAAAATCTGTATATTCTTAAATACATAGATATATACAAAGTCTTGCAACATCGGCAAACAAAATCACAACAAACAAAACATTAGATGTTTGTTGGACTGAAATAATTAAACAGGCGTTCAAGACCAGTTTGTCACATGATGTAGGAATCTTGTTTAATATGTTTTCAAAGGTGAAATTGACTGGGATAGTATGATTGAAGAATGGGGCAGGACAAGAAGGCCCACTGAGGCCCTGGAAGTTTGACACAAACATGTTGACGTCTTTGAGATCAAGTGTCATTGTACAAAAGAATCTTGGTGCTAAGTTGATTGTAACTTCCCATACCTTAGCATAGACCAATAGTATTGCTATGGTTGCTTTAAACAGCAGCACCCATCCAGTCGAAGATTGTCACCCATCTTTGAAAGGAATGACCAAAGATTGTATGTTGTTTATATTCAATACAAGCTCGTCATCCTTACACAAATCCTTATCTTGGCTAAAAAATAAATGAAACAAAACCAGTTTGGCTTCATATTATGAATTATCGGTAGAGTTCTTTCCCTTTGTCCATAACACCTGTACAAAGCCCCACTGACAGGTGCTCCATGCATGTTTTCATGGGTGAAGGCATGCATGAGCCAGCTTGAAGCAGCATACCTGTAAAACTCTGGTTCTGCTGGAGTGAGTGAGTGAGTGAGTTTAGATTTACGCCACACTCAGCAATATTACAGCCATATGGCGGCCGTCTGTAAATAGTTGAGTCTGGACCAGACAATCCAGTGATCCAACAGCATGAGCATTGATCTACGCAACTGAGATACGATGACATGTGTCAACGGTCCTGCAGGATGAATGGTAATATATTGCTGCAGTAATTCCTCAGTAGTTGGATGCAGGACTGCTGACCTCAACAACAAACCTCCAACACCTTCTTCCAGTATAGACTTACTTTGTGCAGTACCAGTATCAGAGTTAGGGATAATAACACAAACTTGACAATAACTTTAACAGACAAATCATCATACAGCAGTTTTTAAACAATGTTGTAAAACTCCATGTGACCGTAACACATGACCAACTCCCAAACAGTTCGAGGCCCCTAACAATGGAAACCATTTGATCAGCGTTTGACACAAAGCTGGTGGCTTGACTTCAGTCTGGTATATATTCCTCAAGAACCTTGGAATGAAGTATCTGATGGTCCGTCTGACAAGTGCTATTTTGGTGCATTTATTTAATTTGCAACGAACATCAGGTGCAAACCCTCGGTACAGTCAGCCCCCTCAATTACCTTGCATGGGAGATGTTTCCAATTATCGTTACTAGGAGGTCATGACCCCTTGTGATCCAACAGAAGCCCAAGATCTACAATAGTATCAATATATGCCCTAGATCTCCAACAGGGCCATCAGAGGCCCTAGATCTCCAACAGGGCCAGCAGAGGCCCTAGATCTCCAACAGGACCAGCAGAGGCCCTAGATCTCCAACAGGACCAGCAGAGGCCCTAGATCTCCAACAGGACCAGCAGAGGCCCTAGATCTCCAACAGGACCAGCAGAGGCCCTAGATCTCCAACAGGACCAGCAGAGGCCCTAGATCTCCAACAGGACCAGCAGAGGCCCTACTTCTCCAACAGGACCAGCAGAGGCCCTAGATCTCCAACAGGACCAGCAGAGGCCCTAGATCTCCAACAGGACCAGCAGGACCAGCAGAGGCCCTAGATCTCCAACAGGACCAGCAGAGGCCCTAGATCTCCAACAGGACCAGCAGAGGCCCTAGATCTCCAACAGGACCAACAGGACCAGCAGAGGCCCTAGATTTAAAACAGCACAAGTCGGATACAGCCTTCATTTCTAAGTACTAGTTATCCAGACTTCTGACAAGGTGTGCCCAGTGTCAAACACTGCTAAGGTTAAGAAGCAAAGCTTACAGATACTATTTTCCCCCCAGCTCAACAACTCAGTTAAATAACAACAAAGGAAAACCTCGCTGCCGAGCCAATAATAAAGATATGTTGACAAACAGAAGTTCAACTGTAATAACATTCTCGAAGAGAGCAGATCGAATCAACATCTCCTGGAGGTACGCGACGTCCTGTCACAAAACAGTAAAACCTCTTAACAACATTCCTTGTAGCAGTAACCTGCAGGAATCAGTAAAATACTCTCATCTTCAACAACGGACAAAAACATCTGACATTCAAATTGTTGAGTTGACTCATGTAAACTTGAGATTCTCACCTTTCACTTTACGATATGTCCAGTAACAGTTCCTCTTTATTCTGGTCACAAAACATTTGCACACTGGTATCAGCACAAGACCAACAAGGAAGATTTAAAATATAGTTTTTCCAAATTTCCCAACCATATTAATGATATTTCTTTTGATTTATCTTTTTATTGATATGTACCTCAAACATAATTCAATATTTCTTCAATGTATATACGATCATTATTTTAAATTTACAGCATTCTTAAAATGTAAATATTTCATACTTGATTTGTACTTGCTAACAAACATGATGTCAACTTGCCCCTGTCTCCGAGTTTAAACCAAGAGGGAGGGCACCTGCTTCAGTGTTCTTCAATGTGACATACACAGTGGACAGGCAATAGTTCCCCTCCCCTTCCTCATATTAGCTGCATGATGGAATAATGTTTCAAAGGTTAATACCCAAAAGGGAATTCTTCCATGGATCATATAGCTTCCAAAATTCCAATACTATTTTCAGAAAATCTTCATCTGATCAGATATTGTAGAATGTGTTGCCAGGAAAACATCTTCCAAACACTTGAAGCTGACGATCGCTCAGTCTTTCAGTCATTAGTCGTATATTTCCTGATTGAGGTAAAAGAGGAGTCAGAAGTCAGTAGTCTGTAAACTATGGGCCGTAAGTCAGTAATCAATATTTTTTCAGCATAGTCTGTGAAAACAGACACGAAGAGGACAGGTCCTCCACCATAAAAATTTGAACGTCTATCTTAATGGTAGTATTTAAGTTGTTTTACAGTAAACAGTATTCGCTGTTGGGACCTTCATGAAAAGGCATCGGCATCTTTCATCCCTCTGGGAACCAATCAGCAGGACTGCCACTGACAGACTAAGTGACACTGCTACGAGCAAAGGCCCCTAAATACATCCACTGAATTGTAACACGGAGACTGAACCCATTCTACATATCTTCCCTCCAGTATATGCCTGACAACAACACAGAGCTTCATAAACATGTAGTAAACACAAAATAAGTAGACAGGCATTCGTAACACCATACTTTCTTCAACAATGGTCGTAGATCCACGTACAGCTAACAGTGAATGTATATAACAAGATTGAGTGATACACATAACGTAGATAAAGAGATTTCTATCTCATCCTCACATTTTCTTCAGCATTTGGCATTTAGTTACATGTAGCACCTTATTTCTATCAATATGATTTGATCAAGTAATGAGACACAGTAATTCTGTGAGAACAAAGTCCAATAGTTATCTCCCTTGATATGTAATGATGGAAACATTAGCGAAACACCTTCCGAAATGACATGGATGTTTCCACGTGTTAAGTTTTAATACCTTAACTTCCAACAGCATCTATTCAGGACAAAAGAGGCTCTTGGTTTGGGTTCTGGCCATTTGTTACACGGAGTGGTGGGAGAAATCCACAGGTTTTGATGCACTAATTTACTGAAAATGTTGTCATGACTTTGTACATTCTTTTCATGACCCTCACTGAAAGTGAAACGGCAAAATTCTCATGCACTTAATTTTTTATTTATGCATTTTTTTATATGACCCTCAACATAACCATTATTTTCTCTTTTCCATTTTTATTGTTTAATAATACTACACTTAGCAGAGTGGAAGGTCATGGGTTTGATCCCTGGCCATGTCATTTGTTGGCCTCTGCCTGGCGCTCGGCATTAATGGATACCACAAGGACTGGTCGGCTCGGAGTTAGTTAATGTGTCTCAGTGGGGTATTCATGCTTAACTGCGGCATGGTATCTCAGTGGGCTAGCACAATAAAACCAGCTTCAGTCTGGGCTAGTACAAGCAGCCACACATACACATGCATGCACGTCGTCATATGGGCGAAATATTCTTAAGTGTGACGTTAAACCCCATTTCACCTCACCTACACTAAGCAATATTGAAGATATGACAGCAGTCTGTAATGAATCGAGTCTGAACCAGATAATCCAGTGACTGACATGTGCATTGATCTATGCAGTCTGGATACAATGACCAACAGCCAGGCAATCAGGATCTTTTAGGACCCATTCAATTCCTCATACACCACCTACCCTTTAACAAATGACCAGTCCCTCAGCAAAACATTCTTGATGTTTTGAAATTTGTCCAACATTAATTTACTTCCATCCTGTTTCAACCTGCAAGGTGTTCCTGGGTCAGATAGCATTTCTGTTATTGATACAAACAGACTCGCCAACCTTTAACTCAATTTGATGAATATTTAAATTTTGAAACCACATCTGAAATAAAACTCTGTCATCGAGGGATGAATACTGAAAGACTTTGGTATTGCTGTTCAACACTCTATCTACAATTTGATAAAATTCTAGGTCTTATGGCACTGTAATTGTTACCGTTTGATATTGAAAAATCTTTCTTCTAATATTCGTACAAGTCGTTCTCTCATAAGAGATTTGAAATTTTCGTACCACTGAATCAGCTTTTGTCGTCTTTTAACTTTATCTTCATGAGGCATTTTAGCCTCTTGGTCTAAAATGTCTACTATCTGATTCCAGTCTTTCATATATACAATGGGTGCGTTATACTCTTTGAGCAAGCGCAGAGGAGCAACGAGGGAAGCACTGGACGACCCACAATTCCCTGGGGTCATCACATCCTCCACAACAGGAAGTGAACCGTAGGATAACGCCTCTCGTAAATGCGGTAACATTCCGTGTTGACCCCGACTGGGTTGAGGGTGAGATCGCTCTGGGCCAGGGCTCGCATGTATTCCTCCCGACTTGTGTCAGTCTCTTGGGGCATCCATCTGCAAGGAGGTCGGGAACCGATTAGCGATTAACACTCACAATACAACATGAATTTGTAAAGGCATGCATTAGCAGGTCATTCCACTGCATCATCAGGTCGGACACAAGACTGGCATAGTATCTATTATACTCACATATAGTGATACTTTAATACCCCATTACAGTTTATTGAAGGCAAATTGCATGAGTTGTAAATAAAAACACATATAACTTGAGTTGATAATACTCTCCACAAGTACCAACAGTGAAAGACATGGGTATATACAGTTTTTCGAATTTGATTTTGTAACTAGTTTTGTAAACACTTTGTAATTGTATCATTTCTATATATTCCAGGGGGGTGGGGTAGCCTAGTGGTTAAAGGGTTCACCCGTCACGCCAAACACCCAGGTTCAATTCCCCACATGGGTACAATGTGTGAAGCCCATTTATGGTGTCCCCACAGAGTTATTGCTGGAATATTGCTGAAAGCAGCGTAAAAACTGAACTCACTCACTCACTCTATATATTCCAGATGCAGCAGCTTTCATTCACTGCAAAGAATTAACTATTGTGCAGTCACTACCACACATGAATGAATGTGCAACCACTACCACAAATGAATGAATGTGCAGTGACTACCACAGCTGGTCAGATGTATGCCTTCACTAACTCGTGGCCAGGATGATCACACAAGTCCATCTATCAGTCTACACCAAAATGGGTCAACAAGCCAAGACCTGTCATTTGACATCTTTTATTTCTTCAGTAAATCTTAGTGTTAGTGTAATTGTTATGAGCAAGGCTTACAAGACAATGATTATGGACTTGTGACATATGTATATATATATCATGTATCATGCTGAGCAGCCATTGTAGCTCGACAGTTGGTATTTCTACTGGGTCTTAGAACAAGTACTGGGAGCTTCTGACATATTCTGCGCTCAGGACTGTTAATCACACCAGGGCAATAGGGCCTAAACTGCAGGGTACTGTTTATCATAGCGATCATAGCACTAGGGAGATTGTAACTCCATCCATTAACATAGGTTTACGATCATTGTAGCAATAAGATTGCTTTGCGGAACAGGAGACCTGGCTAGCTATTCTCGAAACGTTCGTAGCACTAAGAACTTCTTAAGCCCATCCTTAACACTTTGGCTACGATCAAAGTCAAGAATTCTTAGGGCTATGAACATTTCGAGAATAAGAGCCCTGAATCCCTGAATGAATGAGTTTGGTTTTACGCTGCTTTTAGCAATATTCCCACAATATCACGGTGGGGGACACCAGAAATGGGCTTCATACATTGTACCCATGTGGGGAATCAAACCCAGGTCTTCAGCGTGATGGGTGAACCCTTTAACCACAAGGCTATCCCACCTTTCCTTCCCTAGAATGATGTTAAGATCATTGTATAGCATCATTATTGATGACAGGACTACTTACTCCTTCCTGGGCTTCACATAGCACGATGACAGTAAGTTATTTTTCTCAAGGACATTCATCAGGATTTCCCGGCTTGAGTTTCTGTATATTGTCCCCATAAAGTTGCACAAGTATTTCCTGTGCATCGTCAGAGGTAGGTGGGCGGTGTCCACTTTGGGGAAGTCTCGATACCTGCAAACACAGCAACATGAAACACAGTGTCACAAACATCACAGTCAACACCTGTGTCACTGGATCAGCCACACACCTGTAGGCAGCATCCATCTGACATCACTAGCATTTGTTTTTGTCACGATATGGCTGAGATATTGCCGATGTGACGTTAAACATTAACTCACTCACTCACTAGCATTTGCTGCAAACAAAATGGCAGCACCCGGTGAAGACTATCTGCACAATAATCAAGATCTCTATTGCAGTAAAACCTGTGTTACCTCTCAGAGGGTATCAGCTCGCGTGAAAAGATATGAAATACATCTGTCAGTGGCAAGCTTTAGTACAAATGCTCTGCTTATCAACTGACACCGGCAGTTGCTGTGGCACAGTTCAGGCACAGAATGCTGGTTTCATTATGTGATTTTAATTGGACTTTGCATAGACTAGTCATTCAGGCCAAACTATAAGTCCACAATTCCAAGCTAGTTCCACTCAACTGTGTTTCCAAAATGTAAACACTTTGTTCATCAGTGGTATTGATAGGTAACTATTGAGAGTGAGTTTGGTTTTACATGGCTTTTAGCAATATTCCAACAATATCACAGCAGGGGACACTAGAAATAGGCTACACACACTGTACCCATGTGGAGAATCAAACCCGGGACTTCGGCATGATGATGAACGCTTTAACCACTGGGCTACCCCAACGAGAACCAAGCTGGGAGTGAAATGTTGGATAAAACATGTGAAAGCTGACACTGTCATGTCAATGCTGCTCCTCATTCTCACTACCATCTATCAATTTCCATTCCCAAATGAAAACTGATCTTGCTCAAATATCAAACATTTCTGCAAATATAGCTATCTCAACCTTTACACCAGTGTTTTCAGTGTATATATCACAGACCACCGACCCATCAGAAAGCTATAGTTCTACAACCCACGCAGCTATCTACAGATCACCATCCTGTGGGTCCAACTATTGAACCGAGATATACAAATTGAAATGGCAAATACAGACCCAAAGGAAACACTGCACTACAATGAACTTAATATGATATATCATTTCCTTCACTGAAAGTTACACCCACATACCTAACCTTGGGGACCACAATGGCTGATATATATCATTATTGAAAGACATAAAATTTTCAAATCTTAACAGACTTCGTCCCCTAAACTGATCAATACAAACATATGTGGGTCTACAGAGTGTTGATGCATGACAGCGCTGCCGACGCTGCCTACTTACGTTGCAACCCCAAGCGGCCACTGGTAGAAGTTGACGTTGTCGATGTCAGGGCTGTCGTACACGAGGAATGCAAATTTGATTGGTCCTCCTCTAATCTGCATGTAGGACTTGAGCCAATCGTTATTACACTGCTCGTTTCCCAGTATTACGACAGCCACGTTTTTCAGATAGGGTAAGGCTGGCAGGAAGTCTAGCCAGAGTTTAGCGAAGTCTGTCTTGGAGGGTTCGCGTCCATTTAGAATCAGCAGCAGATTCTCTGTGTTCCGAGGCACCTTGCTAGGAATCACACCAGGGCCTGTCCTCAGCCTGTCAATGAAAATGTAGAGCATATAATTCCTGTCACACCAGAAATGCTGTTACAAGATCAGCTGGCATCCTGACACACACACAGATTTTACACATATAATGCTTATGATACAAGTGCCATAAAATCTCAAAAACAGACTTCGGCATGTGAGTGTAAAATCTGCCAGTCATTTGACATTCCATTTATTATTGAATTAACCTTGTACACACATGCACATAGCCAGGGATATTTGTGCTGTGACAAGGAGGAGCTGCCATGTTGCATAGCAACACAATATAGGACCAGACAAAGTCAAGACAAGGGCACTCGGGGGTACTGTATGCTATTACCAGGTTGAACTCTCATGTTGCATAGCAGCATTACATAGTCTCCCATAATATGTACTTGTGTTTCATTAAACATTCTTACCAATTTCCATACCTGGGTTATCGGACAAAGTTTGAAAGTTTTTATGAGGCACTGTGACTGACATTTTGCTATTTCAGTTATCTAATCAATTTCACTGTATTATTTCAAAAACAACCTCTGACATTATAGGATCTTTTCCGTCAATGATTTTAAATCTTGCCTCAGCAACTATGATTTTGTATACTTTTTATTGACGAACTGATTGATTATCTAACCACGTTGAAAAGACGCATCATCTTCAACATGTGTTTAGCGGAAGCTGACACACCCTCGCACTTTAAGAATTTATCTCGGGGACAACAAGACATAACGTCTTCAAATATTGTCTGAAGAAAACACATAAAGATTATTTAGTACAATCCCCTCACTACAGGATGCTGCAAGAAGAATTAAAACTGTCCACAATTTTATAAAGGGATATAACACATCGCGAGAGCCCCTCATAAATCGGCGACTACTTTACGACTTAAATCTAATTTTGATGCTTCGTCGGAGTCTCTGCAGGAAGCTTTATAAAAGTGTTCTTTTAACGACATTTATCTGGCTCCCCATCCACACTCATCATACAATATACATGCACATTTCTCACGCTCAAACTGGAAATCAGATCTTTGAGAATTTGAGAGGATCTAAGACGTAAATTTTGTGGGCATCAATTTGATTTTGGTCCCAGTGTTATTAGCTCTATACACGTCCATTATCCGTGGAGTGTGGCAATCTGGCGGGAGGCTTCTTGGTGGACGACTGATCAATACAGATTCATACAAATATTTTCAAAATCACCTTCAAGAAATTAGTTTGCTGTGAAATCATGTAAACCTTATCAAAGTCAGATTAATCTGCGATTTGCTGCACATGTCTGAAAGAATTTTAAGAAATTGCTTTTTCTGAATCCGCTTTAAAAAACGTTAATTGTCTACATTCTTCGTGAGCCAATGACTGGCCCATGGTGATGTAACGTGGCTCAAATCCTGAGATTTGTTGAAACACTTCAGTGTACTCGACTGAGCTTGCTGGCACTTACAGAACGGTTTCCCAGAAGATCAGCAGCTTGTCTGGTTACAGTTCACAAATGACCATGTCAGGATAATGTTATATTCAGTGAAAGATTTGACTGCAATTTACAAGTTTATCAGCATCACCTTTCCTGCCATGTCAGTCATCCGTCTAAAGATTCAGGGAATGGCTGTACAAAATTACCTCTTTTGGGAAAGTAGTAGAAACATTCCTCCTTTAAGTTTAAAAGCTAACATTATATGTTCGCTGCAGAGAATTTAGTCAACATGACAGCAGTGAAAGGGACGATTTTTTTTTTATGGAAAGTTGGTCTTCTTTTACCACAGGGAAATTAAAGGTTAAATCAAAATCTTATTGTCGTTGATCTTTCTTTTTGAAATAGATCTCTAGCTGAACTGACACTGATGTCTTCTTGCAGACAGATGCCAGTGTACCAAATGGGATGGAAAACATGAATATCTCTGATCTTCAAATCCTATTTTACTAAAAGTCCGAAGCCCAGACAGTGTTTTTATCAATAAATTTAAGTTTGCATGGAAAAGACATGAAAACATTATGAACTACAAGCATACTTAATACAATACAAACTAGTATTAAAGGAAGTTATCAAGTACTGTTTGTTGGACAACTAACTCCATAGGTTAATGCACACAAGGAGAATAGCAACAAGCCTGTTGGGTAAAATAAGAAATTATATTCCTAATCATTTCCTAACCAACAGACTAGTTGCCAGGTTCTTTATTTTTCTAATAAATATATATTTTTCAGATGCATCATTCCATCAATATAGTCATTTTTGTGAATTACAATCAGTTAGGGATGACACAAGGTGTTACATATAATGCCAGCCAAGAATATAAACTCGAAATATCATTCCTAACGTATCAATATTCTCAATACAAACACCTTAGTGTCAAAATTTGGTGCATCGATTTACAGTTTTATCCAAAAAAAGCCTTGGCCCCTTTGCATGCTTCCTTCATTCCTATTTTATTTGTTTCGAACTTCAAATATCTTGAAACATGACCGGTAATGTAGGTGACTTCCCCAACTTTGTTGTGAACATACCATCCAGCCATTGGTGCGTCAAGTTCCCTCGTACAATATAAGCTGTCGTCAAAATTTCTGGAGCTCTGCAATATTTTTAATAGCTCTGACTGTCCAGGCCAGCTCCTGCTGTATCAACGTCCCCAATATTGTATGAGGGATGTAGTAATAAGTGTATGTATGATATTATTGTGTCTGCGTTATATTGCAAGTTATCAAAAACTAATCAGAAACTGTTAGGAGAGACCGCTTCCTCCTCCGCAGAAAGTAGTCCTGACTTCTAAGTCATCATGGGGAGTTGTCCATCAACTACCGCCATCTTGGATCATCCAATTTACACCTAATGGCAAAGTGTCGATGAGAAAACATTGCAATATTGTTTTTCCAAATTAATCCGACATGATATTATTTGGACCCAGTAGGTTCCAAGGGCACAGACTTCAATACATTTGCCAAGAAGATCTTGAACGGAGAACGTAGTCCTGTTCGTTTCATGTCCTGCTGCTTCACAGACGGCAAGAGTCTCACCAGATTGCAAGACATGAATAATATGAATAATTTTCTCTCCGTCTACTGGTTTTCTAGGTGTTAATGTTTCTGTGCTTAAGATGAAGCAGTGATTGTGTGGATTTCAGTTGGTTGGTTGTTGGATGCAGAAATTCAGCTGTCGCAACATGCCGCCATGGTATTTGTGTCTATCTACCAAGATGGTCAGTCCATCAATATACAACACTTAAAACATTATCAATACATATACTGCCTAATAAGGCTGTAATGATTCACTCGCATATTCGGTGAATCGAACCGTAGCCCTTCATGAATTCAATTCGTTATTCGTGGTCACCAGAACCAAAAATTAACGAATATTTACGTTTTTTTAAGGGAGCATGTTTTACTTGAACCCTTGTGTACTTTTTGAAAGTGAGATATGCAGTAATGGAATATGTACTAGCCTTGCAGTAGCCCAAGTCATGTTCGTTTGCCAAGGCCACACATGGTACTGTCAATTGTATCTATTACATACCAAATTTGAGTGTCATGAGATGACTGGTTATTGCTGTGACAAATCAAAACTGTCAACATGGGCGTTTCATATTGTACATCAATCACTTAACTACAATATTGTATTCGTGAATAATTATTCGTATTCGTTACCCAATATTCATGATACGTATCATATTCACCACATAGTGTATTCGTTGCAGCCCTACTGCCTAAATATCTACACTTGTATACTACTTAAAAGAAGTGACAGAATACCCAATGTTTATATGTGACATCTACCTTGTGCATATGGCAACCCCTACCCCACAGCGCTTTGAGCATATGATTTATGGATAAGGCGCTATAGAAATGCTCATTTATTATTATTTGATTATACTTCAAATCACTGTATTTCAAAGTGTGAAACATTTGCCTCAATGACAGCAATATATGGCAGTCAAAGACCTAAATTATCACAATGTGAGGAACAATACTGAAACTAGGAATGATTTCTATTATTCATCACAGATTTATCCAGGATTCGAAAATAAGTGCCCCCTGGCTGGCCAGTTGGGAATAAAATTGTTGTTCTGTTCAAAATTAGTATGTTTTTTAAGTTGATATAATCTTAAAATCAGAGGTACTTTAACATTGTATAACAGGATTTTACATAGACTTTGAAAAATGGGAGTCATGGTGACTCACAAATTTAGAAAATGGCTACATATTTACTGTGAGCCATGAAAATAATGTGTCAATAAAATAATTCCATTACTAATTCTAAATAGAGAAATGGGCTATGAAATCATATTTGGTGATTTTGTTCTCTGTTGCTGGTAAACTGATGAAGTGCATGGTTTCATATTTATAGTAACTTATACATTCCTACAAAACAAACTGGAATATAATGAAATACACGAGTGATGTTATTTATCGTTTTGTAACTTGTTGTTACTTTTAAGTGGTTGTAAGTCTGGTACAAACTTTAACAGACAGAACTAGAATCAGTTTTGCAGCTTACAGACACATTTTGCTTACATTATTATTTGGATTCTAGGTACACTTATCTGAATCAGTACTACATCTGCTATGATCAGTATTTTACAACATTGTTGAGACAAATACACAGGAATTACATGTCATGTAAAACTTGGTATAAGCATTAAATTCCTATTCCTATTTCTTGCTCCTCTTCGCACAACCATATTTTTAGTTAAACAAGCATTGTCACTGAGGTGACATAATCCCCTGCCGCAAATGATCAAATCAAACTTAAAAAGTAATGAAAGTGAAGGTCAGTAGTTTAAGATGAAGTTAAATGCCAACAAAAACATGACCAGTCAACCTCTCTTGATATCTTGATCTGTACTTGTTCAAACGCACAAATATTTTCAAGACTCACTTTGACCTTAACATGAATGTCTTAGTGTACGAAATATGCAAAAATAGTAATAAAGAAATTGCTTATTGGAAAACATTCAAGGGAAGTCTTGAAAGTCTATGAAGAAAATCCAGTGAACTGTTCTTGAGATATCTCGCTGAC